GCTATCTTCATCTGTCAGAGTATGGGATGCGAAGTGTATGTGACGGTCGGTAATGAGGAGAAGCGAGACTTCATGAAGAAGAAGTTCGGAATCCCTGACTCACACATCGGGAACTCACATGATGTCACTTTCGAGAGACAATTCATGACTGTTTCCAAAGGCAAAGGCGTTGACGTTGTGCTCAACTCTCTCACTGAAGACAAACTTCAAGTACAGACCATTTGAGTCGACAATTCATGTCTTATTATAACATAAATTATTGTGTTTTAGGCATCGCTTCGGTGTTTGGCACCAAACGGACGATTCCTTGAGATCGGAAAATACGATATGCAGATGAATAAGAACTTAGGATTGTTTGCATTCCTCAACAACATATCGTTCCACGGCGTGGGTCTCGACTGTATCTTCCGAGAGGGCCCCTCCTCTAAGAAGTTGCAGTCATTTATGAAGGAAATGACTCGACTTTTGAACGAAGGCATCAAAAACAATGTCGTCAAACCCATTGAGAAGACTGTCTTTGGCGTGAATCAAGCCGAACAGGCGTTCAGATACATGACTACTGGCAAACACGTGGGAAAAGTGCTCATAAAGATTAGAGATGAGGAACAGGAGAAGATTGTGGTGACACCGAAACCTTTGGTCGTAAAGGCAACCACAAGAACTTGGTTCCACCCCTTGAAGGTACTATTATTTTGCTACTACCATAATATCATACTATTTTAAGCAATGATATTCTAGTCTAATATGTATATCATTTGTAGACTTATGTGATTGTTGGCGGTTTGGGTGGCTTTGGTCTAGAGTTGGCGTATTGGACAGTATTAAGAGGCGCCAAAAAATTGATTCTCACCTCAAGAACCGGTATTAAGAATGCCTACCAAAAGCTATACTTAAAACGTTTCCGAGAGTTTGGGAAACTCATCGAAGATTACAAAATCGATTTAACCGTTTCGACGAATAACTTGACATCTATTGAGGGAACTCATCGACTCATAGATGAGGCCAACTCTAAGGGACCCGTCGGAGGGGTTTTCAATTTGGCTCTTGTTTTGAAGGACGGTTTCATAGAGAACCAAACGGTTGAGGCATTCAGAGAGTGTTGTGAACCAAAACTCGAGGGTTTGATTCATTTGGATGAAGTGACGCGAAAGAAGTGCCCGGATTTGGATTATTTCGTCGCCTTCTCTTCGCTGACCGCCGGTCGCGGAAACTCCGGACAAAGTAATTACGGTTACGCCAACTCCGGTATGGAGAGGATCTGCGAAAAGAGAAAGGCTCAGGGTTTGTGTTAAACTTTGGTTTACTTGCGTTTCCTCACAAATCAATAACTTGTAATTACAGGACTTCCGGGCCTTTGTATCCAATGGGGACCTATCGGTGACGTGGGTATTGTGGCCGAACAGCTGTTGGCCAGCGATGAGAAGGCAGATATGATGAAACTCTTTGCGGGCATTCTTCTGCAGCGTATCTCTTCATGTCTGGACGTTTTGGACCGCTTTATGCAGAGCCCACACCCAGTGCTAGCGTCGACAGTAATGGCAGACCTCGACCATCAGGCGGGCGCTTCCGAGGATGAAGTTCTTCAACAGCTGTGCAATCATTTGGGTATTGATAAGCGACCCAATGATGAGACTTTAGGTGATGTCGGTCTGGACAGTATGGCTGCCGTCGAGATTCAACAGCGTTTGGAAAGGGATTACGACATCCAATTGGCCTTATCTGACATCAAGAAGATTACTGTCGGAGAACTGAAAGAGTTTAGAGACGGAAAGAAAGACAGTCTTAAGCAATACGCGGCTGACATCAAGAAGGCGAGGGCTAATCTCTCGCAGATTAAGTTTGATATGCCTAACGAACAGACAACTCTTCTCAATGACATCAAAAACGGTATTTCAATCGCCATTTCCATCGTCAGTTCATTAGACAAATGTATTCACAATTGTATTGATGTCTTCAGGAAAGCCGGTCTTCTTTCTGCCGCCAATTGAAGGCATTTTCGAGTCGTTGCGAACGTTAGCCAAAGAGTTGGACCGACCGGTGGTTGCCTTGAATTGGATGAAAACGATGCAGGAGTTGAAAGACATCAAAAAGGTTGCCCTCTATTATAAGGACAAACTGAGACAATTAGCGCCGGAAGGCAACTACGATATCGTCGGCCATTCGTTCGGTGCTATCATTGGTATCCAAATGTGTCGCAAGAAAGTGGACATAAAGTCGTTGGTCTTATTGGATCCGTTCGACCCGACGGGCCTTCAGAACCACGACTGGAATATCGACGAGCGCTTTGAGATGGTGTTCACATACCTGAAGGCATACATTCCCGACAGAATCATAAACCAGATCCAGAAGGACGTGATGGAGATCAAGGGCGAGCAGGCGAGGATCACCAAGCTCATTGAACTCATGAAGCACTACGGAGGCAAACACTTGCACGGCAAGGATGTCGAGGATATAATCCGCGGTTCCTTCGAGAGGGCAGATATGGTCATCAAATACAAGAAGAAGAATATCGAAAAAATGAAATCCATTTTCCAGACGCAGGCCACGTCTACCAAAGTGGTCAAGAAGAAGCTCAAACAAGTGACAACTGATGAGAGCGAATAGTTTGAGGAGTTCTTCCTCCTCCTGAAGGTTCACTAAGTCCTCTGACATGAGTTGTCGATACCGAAGTCTGCTCTCCAGACATAGAGTACGTGACAAGTACTTCAAATACTTTGAAATTTCATGAAGTTTATGAAACTTTGATAACTTTATAAAAACTCTAATAATTGGTGCTATTTATGTGTTTTGCAGGACTTTTTGGGTCGTTTCGACATCTATACGGTGTTGGGAAGTGAGGCCGACTTCCTGACCACTCATTTACCAAAAGTCACTCAAGTTATTACATCTAAAGTAGAAAACTCCTCCTAATTATTATTAGTAGTATATTATTATATAATTATTATTACATTTTACTATCATTTCTATATTATTACTATTTTATTATTACTATATTTGATAACATTTGACTCAACGAGTGGACAGTGGTTTCGTAAAACTGAATTAATGAGCGAGATACTTTTAGGGATTTCTAGATTTGACTCTTATTACAAATACTTTATTATATTTTATACTTATTTTTAATCATTATATTTGATTTGTCGCACAAATATTTGGTTTAATGTTGTTTTGTATGAATAATATATACAATAAATACTCTGTTTCTTAACAAATGTCTCACAAATGCATTGATCTATGGATTCGTGTCCAACATATCAGTGATAATGTGAGTGACAGTCGTGTGGTGTATGAGATGGCGGTCTACTTCTTGGTGAAGCCGATCCTGTCGTGAGTGGACAGGTCTTTGGGTTTGCCGTTGGAGGANTGACATCATGTGAGTTCCCGATGTGTGAGTCAGGGATTCCGAACTTCTTCTTCATGAAGTCTCGCTTCTCCTCATTACCGACCGTCACATACACTTCGCATCCCATACTCTGACAGATGAAGATAGCGGCCTGTCCTACACCACCAGCGCCTGAATGGATCAGAACTGATTCGCCTTCCAATAGGTTTCCTCTCATTATAAGCGCATAATAAGCGGTCGTATAGACCACGGGAACGGTTGCCGCGTCCTCTATGGACCAGTCGTCGGGAATGTCCCACAAGTAGTCTTTGTACGTGAGAAGAGTGGTGGCGATGCCTTTGAAGGGAACCATTCCCATCACTCGCTTTCCATTATCACTTCGACGGCCCGCGAACTCAAGACCAATAATACAGTCGAAAAGCGCACCTTCAGGTCCCGGCTGTATCTTTCCCGACACTAACACCACATCCTTTGGAAGACAATTGTGTCGATTAAGACAATAATTACTTTTCGACTTAAAATACCTTAAAGTTGAGGGCAGAGTAGTAGACATTGCAGAGTACTTCCTGTTCTTTCTTCTCATGTGCGGGAAGATTAGGGAAGTATTTGTGGTGAGCGTCGAACCACTTCAAGCTCGACATATCTCCTCTGGTGACCACATTGAGGTACGCGTGCTCTGTCTCTATGGTCTCCTGTTCCTCGGGGAGCAGTATATGCCTCTGAGTTCCCCATTTTCCCCCTTTGTATATATTGCAAACTAAGTCCAATTCAGCCAATTGTTTGAATGGATTTTTAGTGAAGTTTATATCTTTAGGCAGTTTCTGGTCGTAATCGAAAATACAGCGAATATGAGAACCTCCCGGTTCTAGACGAAGACAATTCAATAGACCAATGATTCCATTACAAGACGTGTCGTTTCCAATAAGCCATATAGTCTTGGGATCCTCTGATTCTTTATTAGTGACCAAAACAGTTTTCAGTGGTTCCACCCAATCCTCGTAATTCCCATTAGGAATGTTGACAATGAGTTCCTCCCTTTGGAATGTCATTACTTTTCTGAATACAGCGATGGAAGTGCTGTAGGCGTCACTCTTTCTGCCCACCAGTTTGAGGCCAGCCTTTTGAGCCAACTCTATAAATCTGTCCATTTCTTTGGCGGCCAACAGATCGTCCGCTGGGTTTTGGCCCATCAGTTGGTATACAGTGTTCTCCGGAGGAGTCAGTTTTGATCGTCCCGTCAGGAATAGGAAGCCATTGTACTATATATACAGATATTCATTAATATTAGTGTTAGTCTAATGTTATGATTATTATAAAAAGATTAAACTTAAGATACAAACCTTAAGCGTATCACTTAAAGCCTGGATCTGATTCTCGAGATTCCAAGACTTGGCCACTTTGTTAGTCATTCTGTATACTAATAAGTCAAGCGATTGAATATCTTTAATGAACTGATTTGTACTCAAATCCCATTCAAGTGTCTTTAGATTCAATGCTTTTGTCTCTTCAGGTATTGTCTGTGGCGACGGATTTGCAATCATGTAATCGACATTAATTAGTCCAATACAAGAGTCTTTGAATTTCTGAATCAAATTGTTGGCAAAGACACCTCGACTCGGATTCATCTCCAAGACTTTGATCTGCGATTTGTCTGAACTGTTCTCCAAAACCAAATCAACGAACGGACGAATAAATCTCTCGTTAGTGAACACAGAATTGATTAAATCATTGGATATGTTGTTCTCCTTTTTGTCGGTTATCTCTTTGAAAGAGTTCTCCAAATTCTTTGAATCCTTCTTCTGATCTTCGATTATATTGAGATTTGAGTCCACTTTAAGATCAATGAGTTCTTTCAGTAATTTCATCAGTTTCCAGTCATCGTTGGGAACTTCAGTGTATTTCTTAACCATCGACTCGTCGGCCAACTTATATCCGTTGAGAACTAATTTGCTTACTTTTGGTGTAATTTGTGACAACTTTTCAGCCAAATTACAGCAAACGGAGATGTATTCATTCAAACTCTCTTTGAATGGACTCTCAATAGCCATGTCTTCAAAATGAGGGATAAACTCATGTCTCTCGAGAGTCAGTCCCTGTTGTCCAGGTCTTCGCGGCACATTCACCGGAATAAAGCCCTTAATCTCAAGACCTTTGGTTACAATTGACCTAAAGTTCAGATCAAAAGAGACGGGAAGAATAGAGATCTTGTCCTCATCCACGTTATCGGTGTCGAGACCAATATTAGTGATGCCCAGAATTTCGGACGCCATCTTGTCTTCGCCCCCAACCATTGCAGCCTTAATCTGCTGTTTAACCATAAAATCTGCTTCTTTGGCCTCATCGTCGCCCATATCGGGTCTGATTTCACCAATAATTTCTGTTCCTTTAATATCGTCTTCGAGATTAATTTCATCCAAAGCCTTCACTTTCTGGTTCTCTCGAAAGTAGAAGAATTCTGGCTTTTCTTCGTCCAAAACGGCCGCCTCTTCCTTCTCCTTCTTCACGGACTCAATCGCTTCAAACAAGACGTTTGGATCACAACGTATTGATTGAAAGCCAATGGGAATAAAGAGGGCGCGTATGGGAAGCGCCACGAGAGCTAAATGGCAGACAGAGTCCACGAAACTGACCCAATGGCCCGTCCACTTTGCTTTGCCCCGACGCCCATCACCTCTGGCCTCAACGAGCCCTTGGAATTTGGGACCATAATCGTAGCCACGGATCCGGAGTTCTTTGTAAATATCTTTATTGAACAAAATTTCATGCATTTTCTCCTCGTCGTCCTCCTCTATAATCTCTTCGTCCAACTGATCCTGCATTTCAAGAATAGGGTCTTCAGGCATAGACACCTTTCCAGAGCAGGCGATCGCATTGTTCTCAGAAATAGTGAAATCTCCCGTTCCTTCGAGCACTCGGATTGTAAACTTCACTTCTGTTGTCTCCGATAAGAGAGTCGGCCGAAAGAACCTGACATTCTCGAAATGGACGGGCGTTTTCATCCACGGCTGGCCCTTCATGGCGGCCAACCTTCTCCACGCCATCAGTAGATAACCGGTGGCCGGGAATAAGACTCTGCCGTCGACGGCGTGGTCTTTGAGGAAATTCCAGTCGGATTCCAATAAACAGAATTTCATGACAAAGTCAGAAGCGGTCGCATAGTTATGGAATTCCGGGAATTTCTTCACTTCATAACTCCTCTCGTGATCCCATTGGAAGAGAGAGCTAATGGATTGTGTGCCCCGACATACCGGCCACTCCACCTTCGGGTACAACTTCTCAATCGTCGGATTCAGGCCTAACGTGAAGAGGCGCCCGATTGACGAGAGGAAGAAACAGAGATTATCCGCTTCTGTCCTCTTCATGAGTCCCGTATAAGTGAGTGAAGGGAAGCATCGCTTGAAGATGGACTCGAAGAGTGAATGCGGCGCCACTTCAATGACGTACGAGTTTTTGCCGATTTCTTTCATGCCTTCGTTGAACAGCACCGGAGATATCAAATTGTTTGTGAAATAATCGCCTGAAATGCAAATGTAATGATTAGAGAGTTATCAGAAAACTTGATACTGTTTGTGACAAACCTGAAGCAAACTTAGCCTTTTGTGAATCCCATTGATCTCTCGGGAATGAAGTGGAAACCCATCGTTCACTCCTTGGTTTCGGGTCAGGGATTACTTTATTGAGGATTTCCAACAGAGGCGGCGCAACAATATTCATGAATGGGCTGTGATATGGATAGTCACCGCCGGCCACTTGTCGGGCGAATATGTTCTCACCCTTGAGTTGCTCCACAAACTTAACCATATTATCGTAGAGACCAGATATGGTGACCGAGTCGTTGCCATTATGACAGGCGGCCACAATGCCGTCCGGACACCGCTTTATGGTCTCGTCCCACGTCAGGCCCACCGCAGCCAACATTCCTATTATAGTTATGTTTCACACATTAAATATCGCGTCAAATAATTTGTCTATATTTCACGCAAACCTTTGGGCAGTTTAGAGGTCTCGACAATCTTTCCTCTCCAATAAGCGGTGAGAATAGTTTGCTCTAAAGTGAGACACCCGTCAGCGTAAGCACAGGCGACTTCGCCAAAGGAGTGGCCAATAATGCCGACCACTTCGATGCCCAGCATACAGAAGGTGTCGTACAGCGCGACCTGCATTGAAGTGATGGCTACGAAAGCATTGGTCGGGTTTTTCTTAAGAGCCTTGTCGTCGTCGCTGAGCAACAGATCCATCAAATCAATGCCAAACGGTTCCAGAGTTGCCGCACAACGCCTCAAGGAATCAGCGAATGTCTTAATGGGCATCAGTTTCTGAGCCATTCCTGTCCACTGACTGCCCATTCCCGAGAAACACAGCCAAACGGGAGAGGGTCTCAATGCATCGCAAACTGTGCGCTGGTATTCGTACTGGACTTCAGTGTCAGTACTCGGGGTTTCTTCATCTTTTGGTTTCTCTTTGATGATAACATAGCCTCTGTTCGGGAAATTAGACGATCCCTTAATAATCTGGGTCTTCATCGCGTCGTTCAACAGCGCTAAGAAGTCTTTGTGTACTTTCTTTGGATTGTTTTCAATGAAGTCGAAGATATGATTGACCGCCGCTTCGGTTCTGCCGCTGACGTTCACCAGACGCGGGATGGGATCACATATCTTGTAGGTGTCGTCTGTGGCCTCCTTTTCGTTGGACTTAAGCAAGGCGTGAGCGTTCACTCCGCCCACACCGAAAGAGTTGACGCCAACGATGCCGTTCTCGAACGGCGTGTTCTTCATCACTGGGATCAGTGTCTTATTGACCACACACTCGATCTCAGGCTTCGGTTCCTCGAAGTGAAGGTTAGCCGGAATACACTTGTTCTCGAAGGCGACGATCACTTTGGCCAATGAGCACAATCCGGATGAGCCCTCCGAGTGCCCCAAATTACTTTTCACGGCTCCTAACAGTAACGGTTCCTATGAAGAAGTCACAAGAATTTCTTACCAAATATAAGCGAATAAAACATTTCAAATGAGACAAACCTTTCTGTCGTGACAGTAGGCGTCGGCGATAGCCTTCGCCTCTTGAGGGTCGCCGACATTAGTACCCGTGCCGTGCGATTCAAAGAACTTGATATCATTGGGATCGATGCCCGCCTCGTGATAGGTCTCAATCATGAGATCCCTTTGTCTCAACCAAAACGGCGAGAAGAGACCAATGGATTTGAAGCCATCGGTGTTAGTCTTGGCGTGCAATAGAGTGGAATAGATTCGTTTGGCATCACTTCGCTTCTGCAGGAATACTGAGCCCACGGTCTCCGAGCGCACGAATCCGTCGGCCTTCTTGTCCCACACTTTGCACTTGCCGTCGGACGCCATCAGACCAATGGATTGGTAGATGCAGTTAGAGAAGGGCGATGGCGTGAGGTTCCCGGTGGCCACTATGGCCGCGTCACAGTTGCCCGTCCGGATGTCCTGCAGGGCATTGGTCAGCGCCACCATCGATGCCGAACAGGCCGTGTCTATCAGAGTGGACGGCCCGTGAAAGTCAAACAGAAACGAGATTCTGTTCGCGTACAGGGCTTTAGAGCTGCCGTACACCCAGAGGGCCGCCTCCTTCCGACGACAGTCGTTGAAGTCGTCTTGAGGTATACCATCGGCATTGGCTGTCAATACAAATAGACATTATTAATACAGTTATTAGTATTATTCGGGGATTGTGTCAAGACANCCGTACACCCAGAGGGCCGCCTCCTTCCGACGACAGTCGTTGAAGTCGTCTTGAGGTATACCATCGGCATTGGCTGTCAATACAAATAGACATTATTAATACAGTTATTAGTATTATTCGGGGATTGTGTCAAGACATACTGTATTTTCAATGTCTGTATTACAGACTAAAAACTCTATTAATTTGATTTTATCTGATAATACTTTTGTTGACAATAATTTGTCTTTAATTAGTGATCATGTAATCTAATATTTCATAGTAATTTAGATTTTGTTTAAAACAATTAATTATTTGTGATTAAAAATTACTGTTTTTTACTGTTTTATACTATGTGTTCAATACTGTATTATATTCATTGAAGTTTTCTTTATAATTAAAACTATTATATTTATATTAATAATTTGTTTAATTTATTTGTATTTGCCTTAATTTTATAGCTATAGTCTAATTTCAATTGAAAATGTGTGACAATTTAGTTTAATGAATATATTTAATTCTTATTGCATTTTTGCATTTGATTACAGAATAGATAAAAAGCTTACGAAAAATGAGTTTAGATTTGACCCAACGATAAGTTCAGTGCAATGAATATTAAAATTTGC